ATGATTATTGTTTAACAGTGCAAGATAAGGAACGTATGGTGGTTGTTTTTTTTTCACTGTGTAAAGTATTTTGTTCATGTACGTGTATATTCATATATATGTACTAGTCTATGTGCTATATATTGCGCGATACAGCATATTGAGAATACGAAAGGAATGCATGAGGATGAGCTAATAATGAGTAAGTATGGACAACCCCCCCCAAGCAAATTATAGCATTATTCAAAAAATACACACCGACGATTTTACACATGATCGTTTTTTCTTTATTTATTTTTCTTTTGTATCTTTTATAATAAGTAAGCTTTTGCCGTAAACAAATGGTCAAGCACATGACTTTTTCCTCATTATGAAAGGTATTACGTAACATCAGTTGATAACAGATAACAGATAACAGATACAACTTCGCTTTGGCCAAACGTGTCTAAACATGAAAATCGCATTTATCACAAGAAAAAACATGATCTTCACTATTAAGGAAAAACAATTAAGTCGACGGAAATTCACAGAATAAACAATGGCAACTTATCAATCAAATCTCTCTATGGCCATACTTGTCTCAACACGTATCCTTAGTACATGAATGAGATAAACATGACGCACTTGATCTTGACCCAATTCCCATCTAAAATAAATAATAGTGCAGATGAGAACCAGAACATCGTTGAGAAATTGTGTGTGTGTGTGTGTATGTGATTAATTATTCATCAGTTATTATTATCATTCAGTTATGCACGCACTTACTCATTCATCAGATCTTGCTATTCCTAATCGTGTCTAAACATGTATCGATCACATGAATCATCTAAGCGGAAACACGATTGGACTTGTTCTTCTTTATTCAGGAAAAAAAGTTTGCTCGAGATAAACTCACGAAATTAATTAAAGCTAAATGAAAGTAACACCTGATGTTAAAGATATGCAGTGAGAACCAGAATAATCTTGCGAAATATTTAGTAAGACAGCAATATCTGTTGATCTTTCTGTCTATCTGTCTATCAACATATGTATCTCTCGATATGTATGCATATACCTATATCTATTTATGTCAACCCATCTCTAGCTATTCATCTACACACACACAAACACACACGTATATATAATATATAATATAATATATATATAATATATATATATATATAATTAATATATATATATATACATATATATATATATATAAAATATAATATATATATATATTAATATATATATATATATATATATATATATATATATATATATATATATGTATATATATATATATAATACATTATGCATGTATGTTATGTATGTATATGTATATACATACATACATACATAATATATATAATATATATATATATATATATATATATATATATATATGTATATATTATAATATCACTCTATCTCTCAATCTGTCTACTCATTCATCTATATACCCACCTACCTATTTATCGTTCCATCTATTTATCTATCTATCTTTACATAGAAAATATATAACGTATATCTATCTATCTGTCTAACTGCCTTCTACTTACTATCTATCTATCTATTATCTATCTATCTATCATCTGCCTATCACCACACTCGACCAGTTAATTAGTCAATCAACGAAAACACATTTACTGTAGGAAACGTATGAATCTCTTAATTAGACGCACTGACCAGGATGCGTAGAAATAGGTATCTGGCAACCTACCAAGAAGAGAGCGAAATATATCCATTTGAGGATAAAAGACATGCATTTGATCGACAAAAATGTTTCAGTTCGTCGTATCTCCGCATGTCTGTTTGACTTTCTCTCTCTTTAATTTTCCCTCCCTTCTTCCCTCTTTCGGTTTCCGTCTCTCTGGCTGTCTGCTTTCTCTCTCTTTCTGTCTGTCTGTCTGTCTCTCTTTCTCCTCCCTCCTCCCCTCGCCTCTCTCTCTCTCTCTCTCTCTCTCTCTCTCTCTCTCTCTCTCTCTCTCTCTCTCCTCTCTCTCTCTCTCTCTCTCTCTCTCTCTCTCTCTCTCTCTCTCTCTCTCTCTCTCTCTCTCTTCTCTCCCCCCCTCTCTCTCTTTCTGTCTAGTATTCTCTCTCTCTCTCTCTCTCTCTCTCTCTCTCTCTCTCTCTCTCTCTCTCTCTCTCTCTCTCTCTCTCTCTCTCTCTCTTTTTTTTATCTCCATATGGTACATAGTCTGCAAATTATATTCTACTGATGCTAAAATTTCCTATTAAAGGTAAAACTATTTATAGCTTAAAACAGAGATTAAAAATCATTTTTTGATAAAAGAGAAAGCAGGTCAAACTATCTCTCTCTCTCTCTCTCTCCTCTCTCTCTCTCTCTCTCTCTCTCTCTCTCTCTCTCTCTCTCTCTCTTCTTAGTATTCTCTCTCTCACTCCCTCGCCCTCCGCCCCCCCTCTCTCTTCTTACTCTTACTCTCTCTCTCTCTCTCTCTCTCTCTTTACGTATT